TACTTCGATAAAAACTTGGAAATCTAATAATAACTTGGTGATACGTACAAAATGTTGTTTCTTAGTCACTGGAAACATTAAAATCAAATTAGACAAACTAGAAATATGGGAATATTGACTCATCCCTGTCTTTATTTATGTGGCTGTATTCCATATAATTTGCACGTGGCCCAACCTGTTATGTTCATCAATCAATCAAAGTATGTCGACAAGAGTGAACCCACTCTACACACGGTCGATCTTCTTTTCTATGTTCGTGTCCCTACACCTCTCTGAAGCTCATCACTATTTCTGGTGTTTTATTGATATGGTGAGCTAAAGGTAGGTAGCAATAACTCAACAACGCGGGTCTAGCTAAGTCGGAACTCGTTTGAGACTAGTTTAATCCGCTCAAAGTCATTAGTTTGCAACTAACTTTTTATTTACATGAAGAACCCTAACTTAACGCACATGGTAATTGGCTAAGATTAATTCTTTGGAAATTTTATTTACATGCAGACAACAAATAAGATTTACAATAGGTGTTTTAAATCTGCATTATCTGAATCGACCTGATCTTTATACCAGTTACAGTATAATAAGATCGATATGAAAGTTGAACGAAAATATAATTTTTTTTTGTTGCTAAGTTGTAAATATCATTAACTGAATAATGAAAAATTGATTACAATAGAAATTGAAATCCTAGATTGCTCAAAGAGCTGATCTGATCCTAGAGGCCGCAAAAAAAAAAGTAAAAGAACCTATAGCATCCATAAAAGATTTAAGGGTATTGCAACAATACACTTAAAATTAAAGCTTAGCAACGTAAATGTATCAACTAATTTCCTAACTCAAGCGCTTCCTAAACCCTTTGCAGGTCAAAACCTGCTGAGAAGAGGAGTTTGGCTAAACAGGGACGGTTTGCTGAAGACTAACCCAAAGGTCTCTCGAGCTGCGACAACGAAGAGCCTGGCTTACAATTCGGTGCTAGCTGAGGAGGGCTTCGTTGAAACCAAACCCAATGCCACTCGGAAAGTAGCTGTCTAACTTGCCAAGATGTCTTCACTTGAAATAGAGCACATGAAATGATGGTCAAGCGTAGTCGATATAACGCACCCCAATCAGAGTTTGCGACCGAAGAGATAAGCGAACACATCACGGCTGTCGGAAAGAACAAACCGGAGCTTGAAAGAACCCTAAGCATCCAACCACCCTAAACACAACAGATATAATTTTAGGTATTACAAAAATCAAAACAAATATTAATCAAACCAATTAAAAGAAGGCAAACTCAAATAAAAGTTTAGAGGCTATTGATTTTAGTTTAGACTATGGATATAATTGATACAAATGTGGACCTGAACCAAAACATAAAAATACATGCTATCTCAATTGTAACTAGACTAATTTTACAGTAGTCTCTAGTCGAAAAATAATTTGGTACTATATTTGGTACCACCATCTATACAAAGTATAGTTAGTGTAAGCTCTATCTCTCTCCATGTGATTATTTATGCGGTGAGCCATCAAAATCAGTGCTGGAAATATCACACAACTAAGCTAAGTGTCGTTAATTTCCAATTAAAAGTTATGGAAGGAGAGATAACGAACATACCCAAAATGGTAGGATTTGATTATATGGTTATATACTCCTATTAGAAATATAGCTAACTGATTTTTAAAAAGTATACTGTGATTTACTTGTTAGAACAAGAATCTTAACAAAAGGAATACACATGGGATGTTTAGGAGAAGATTCAGATTCCAATAATCCAACGGTCAGAGAAAAATCGCAAGAAAATGTTTACAACCGTAGGATCTGTTCCCTTAACCACCATGTAGTGCCGGTCTTTATTAATTTTGTAGAAAAACAGCACCAAACTAATGTCTCTCATGTGACCGACCATCGCATAAACCTGTCGTTGCCCCCACTTTGTCTCCCCACATATACTGAAACTGTCTGAACGTGTCGATCTCTGACTGGTTTACATTAGTTTTATCGAGTGGACCAACGAAGCAACACATAAAAGCACGACGCGGTATAGTACTACCATTACTACAATAAGAGAAGTGTGTGTGAGAAGAAAGTTTCTCATAATTTCATAACTTATCGAATTATACAAAAAAAAAATAAGTTGAAAAGAAATGGAGAAAGGTGGACTCGAGCTTGAGATAACGGAGCTGAGACTAGGTCTTCCGGGGACGGAGAAGGTGATGAAGAAGAGAGGCTTCACGGAGATGATCATGACGTCTTCAGGAAGTAATAGTGATCATCAATGTGAAAGCGGCGTCGTTTCATCAGGTGGTGACGTAGAGAAAGTTAATGAGTCTCCGGCTGCCAAAAGTCAGGTGGTGGGATGGCCACCGGTTTGCTCTTACCGGAGGAAAAACAGCTGTAAGGAAGTTTCGACGACGAAGTTAGTGGGATTAGGGTATGTGAAAGTGAGCATGGATGGTGTGCCTTACTTGAGGAAGATGGATCTTGCTTCGAGCCATGGTTATGATGATTTAGCACTTGCTCTCGATAAGCTCTTCGGTTTCCATGGCATTGGTTAGTAAATTAATTCTCTCAAATTTAACAGTAGATAGTGTGAAACAAAGAAGCTTATCGATTGTACGAGAGATCAGATTAAGAACTAACTATTAGCGTTTTCATGCGTAATGCAAGAAGGAACACAAAATGGGAATGAATATATTTTGACTAGGTCAATTAGTAAATAGTAATGTTGTGTTAATGATGTTTTAGACTTATTCATCACGGACATTTCAGATTTAGTTGATTTTTAGTCCTAGAATCTCTGATGATCTGACTGTGGTTTAACTCTAAAAACCGTAACCGTTTCATACTATCTGAACATTTGTAGAAAAACTAGAAATTAACATTTCAATTACACCGTTTCAGAAAAAAAAATTCATTTACATTTCTTTTTTTTTTGTTTGTTTGTTTAAAAGACAATCTTAAATTAGCAAGAATTTTGTACCAGATGAATATTGGACTTTCTACTTATCAAAATACAATTAGCACTTAATTAGTCTGTATGTGTATATTTATGTGCAGGAGTGGCCTTGAAAGATGGTGATAACTGCGAATACGTTACCATATACGAAGACAAAGATGGAGATTGGATGCTCGCCGGGGATGTACCTTGGGGGTATGTTCATGTCTTTGGACTATGAATAGATTATTGGAGACATATATGCGTTTATAACTAAATGGGTTTGGATATTTTAATTTTGCAGAATGTTCATAGAATCATGCAAGAGGTTGAGGATTATGAAAAGATCCGACGCTACAGGGTTTGGGCTGCAGCCTAGAGGAGTAGACGAGTGATATGGTGACTCGACCAAGAATCAAGGCACTGGTTGAAGAATTTAACCTTTAAAGTTGATCAAGATCATTTAGAACATTTTTTCCTATTCATGTTATATATAATATATGTTATAGTGTTATTCTAAAAGACAACTTAATTAATGGTTTGCATGAATATCTTCAGAAAGACAGCTATATATATTTCTGGAGTATTGAGGTATAAGTCTTAAGACATTAATTTGCTTGAAATCCACTGTTATCCGGATCCATATAACATATACATGTAAGAAACCTTTGTCACGTTTCTGTAATTTCCTTCTTGTAATATTTGAATAATTCTGTCTCCAAAAATTATTTATTTCATTCACATTTGAAGCTACGTTTGATCTGATAAAAATAGCTAAGTTTGATAATTTTATACTTTTTATTGCTTTGTATTTTTCACTATTAAGTGATCAACTCTCTTGCTTTTGAAATATTTATTATATATCAATTATAGAATAAGCACAACGACATGTTCGGCATGTCGACCTTTTTTCTATATTGTCTTTCTGTAGAACGTTACTTCTAATATTATGAAACGAACCCATATGATTTGTTACAAGTACGTATGACCTACCTGTGTTTCTCATTGGTAATGCCATGTGCATTGCAAACCAGAAACAGCAAAAAATTCAGCCCATCCCCCCAGTTCTACTTTTTTGTTTGGGCCAAATTTATAAGTCCATGATTACATTTAAATAATACTTTAGGATCCCTTGTAATGCAATGCTTTTAACATAATTAGATGGTTAAAAACTAAAGATCTTCATAAGTCCCTTCTGGAAGGGAAAAGTGTCTATTCCTATCCAAACAATTTCAATCGTGTCAAATACAATCCGAACAAATTATCATGTACAATATGACATGCAAAATATGACCTGAATTACGTTATAATTCAAAAAAACCTACCTAAACTTTTTAAAACAGATCTAAACCTACATTGACCGTAACAGAAATTAGTCAACCGTTAAAATAATAAAACGACATCATTTTGATTTTTTTTATTTTAAATATACACATTCTAGGACTCAAACCTGTGTCTTGTCATTCTTTAAAAAAGACACATCAACCACTAGACTAAAGCAAATTTTTTAAATAATACTACAAATTTTCAATTATATATGCTACTATACTTTTTCATCTTCCCTAATTAAAACTTTGGTTATTATTATTTTTGATTCTTATAAATATATTAACATGTTTTTTAGTTATTATATATTTAATAAACTTATGTTATACTAAAATATAAATAATAAATATTTATAATTATACAAAATTAAATATCTTTCATGTTTTGCAACTATTCACAAAATTTACATATATAAAATATTTAAAAAATTTAAAACTTGAATGGTAATTTCTTTTATTTGGCAAAGTATATTTAACTTATATTAATTTTGAGAAACAAAAGAAATTAACATTCAAGTTTTAAATTTTTAAAATAATTTTACATGGGCATTTTGTAAATAGTATTATTTTATAAATTATCCAAAATTATAAAATTTAATGTCAATATATTAATGTATTTGGCACAATTGAAATTGTTGGGTAGGAATAATCACTTTTCCCTTTGTGGAAACAACTTAATCATTTAGGGTAAGGGCTTATTCCCTCATCACACAGTGAAATTAGTCACACTAACTAACTTACAAGAGTCGATCCTCTCATGATTTGTCACTTAGTTTGTAGCAATGCCAAGTTTGATCCGTATGGCAATGTTATTTACTTCCACATTGCTTCAGCTTCCCCTCTTTCTTGGGGTTATAATCATTGGTTCTATTGGTCAAGTATACACATCCTCAAAACTATCTCCCTTTTGTATTAGATTCTAGTGTTTCTTTTTGTTTTCTGATTGATTAAAAGCTTCTTCTGTCTTTTGAATAGTTGTAGGAGGAGGTGTAACAGGTCCAACCAACGTAAGGATAGTGCAAGGGCAGGCACTCAAGACCAAGATGGACAAACTTGAGTTTCTAGTACCATGGTTGGATCTTCGAGTTGGTATTTCAGTGAATCCGTTCCTTTCCATTTTAGCTGCTTAAAGTTCCGATTGCAGTATAGTTAACAACCTTTATGTATGCCTTTCTGATAAGTGGTGAAGAGATCAGAGATTGCTAGAGCTTTCATAAGGATTCCAGCATCTCCTTCAAGTCATGATGACGAGGAAGAATATCTCGTCAAGAACAACTTCATCAAGTCATCTCTCCAAACAATCAAATTTTAGACCACATCTTCAAAACACACATTTTGCTTCTATAGCGTGTTTGTGTATACAAAACATTTTCATTATTGCTCCTCCATGTGTAATAATAACAATTTGTTTTGTTCCCATTAATGCAACATTAAGACATAGATTTGCTCCACCGTGAAGGTGTTGTTCTTCCTTTGACAAGCCTTGTCTTCATATTCCCTGGAGTCCTTGGCTCAAATCCATCACCATTATCACCTACTTCTTCCTCAACGTTCATCATCTTTTCAACACTTCCTCTAATGAAAGGTCTCTTCCACCTGAAAAACCCTTTACTCCCACCACTCTTCTTCTCCATAAGCCTCTCAAGCTGTATATGCATGGCACCACACTGGCTCTGCAGCCTCAACACATCATCGCTAAGCCTCTTTATCTCCACTTGCTGAACATTCATCTCGCGTTTGGACAAGCACTGTGGTCCAGACCCTGGCTCAAAGTAATGTGAGCCAGAAGGATTCGTTGGACTCCTTGCCGCACTACTTATTGAGCTACCGGTCCAGTCAACGTGACGGCTTAGCTTTGTCTGCTCAGTGAACAACACTCCGATGATTGATCTCACTGGTAAACGATCGTTCTGAGCTGCATGTAGAGCTGCTTCTGGTGATAACTTTCTGCTATCAATGAGTCTACACAGTTCCTTCCTTTCGTGCTTCATTACCTGAGGATGAGCCTGTAATGAAATTTAAAAATCTTGAACTGAGTCTCAAGAATGGTCTTTCTGTTGATTTTTAGGATTAAAAAAACCTATTTTTACATATAAGAAATTTTGCCTAAAACAGAAAAAAATTATATAGGGGAAAAGTGTAAATACGGATCTAAAAGATAATAATTTACTTATTCATACAATAAATAAGCAAACCTTAAAACGAATATTTGACTTGATAGAGTTTTCGCTTTCTTTGATTTTAGTTTGCAATTTACTTTTGTTGAATGAATGTTAAATTTTGTAGTTCCCAAATTAGTGAAAACTTCATTTCTATTATCTTGCAATTTGTTTTTTTTTTAGTGAATGTTAAATGTTTTTGTTAGCAATTTATTTTATTTTTTTCAAAAAAATGAAAAACGTGATGACTTTAGTTAGCAATGTATTGAGAACTTCATTATTATTACCTTGAGATATGTATCAATGGCGCGGTACAAGCCATCCTCAGTGGTACGAGCATGGCTAGGCAGAGCTTTAATAATTGATATAAACTCCGTTAGAGTCAAACCACCGTCAACGGCGGCTTCAGCGAGGTAAGAGTCAACAAGCTTAGCCACTTTAACTAGAGCCGCACCGGTCTTAACACCTTCACTGTCCAAACCAGCGAAGTTCTTGACAAGACGCGTCACGAGCTCAACGTCGAGCAAAGTCCCACACGTGTGGCTAAACGAAGGTATCATGAGCTCCTTGAGTGAGGCTTGGTCCAGCTGCAAAGACACTCTGTTCTCGAGCTCTGTTAAGTAGTTCTGATTGGCTCCGACCATTTTGGCTGTCCTGAGGAGACGGAGGAGGAAGTTGCATGGAACGGAGTCTTTCTCCGGAGGGAGGATTCCGGTTAGTGTTTCGACGAAGAATCGTTTCTTCATTACAGAAGCCGTAACGCTCTCCGTCGGTGGTGGTGGTGGTGGGTCCGTGACGTTACCGGAGAGATCAGGGAGCCATTTGGAAGCGTAGTGAGCGATGATGGAGCCGATGAGGTCTGGTCTGATGCCTTTGGATTTGATGCCGGTGATGGTTTTGACGAAGTGGTTCATGTCTTGGATTGAAGCTTCGTCGAACCAAAAGTAGTATTCCATGTCACCGGGGAACGTTTCTTGGTTGGCGTAGATGGTGATGGGTTCCGGCGGAGGTGGTTTCTCCATTTTGTTTTGGTTCTTTTTGAGCTTGAAGTTCAGTGTGATAGAATGGTTTTTATATGGAAAGAAAAGTTATGGATGGTCTTTTTACAGTATCGTATGATTATTATCTTTTTTGGCTTTGAAGGCTCATGAGAGAGCGTAATTGGCGCAAGATTCCAAGTTTAAAAACAAAGAGTTTTCATTTTCTCATAATCTTATATATTAAAACAGAAGTCATAACTTGAATTCATGTGTGATTTTTTTAAAAATGGACTATTACTAAAAATTCATGTTACATTAACTCTCTAATAATCTTATTATTATTATATCTTATGAAAAATCATATCTATAATAACAAAGATACGTTTAACAATTTGGTTTAGGTAAATTACCCCACACTTTCTAAATTAGTCACACAAAATATGTCAATAGATATAAGTTTAGGAATCTTCTGTTATTTATAAGGAAATATGTCAATAATAGTTAAATGGATCCATCATATATTAACAAAAATCACAGATTCGTAATATGAAATATTTGTATACCGTAACAAAATTTACACACTATATATACTAGATAAATTTATTTCAATGTAAATTTTTAAAATTATATATTTTTTTACAAAAAAGAAATTATTTTAAAAAAANTCTTCTGTTATTTATAAGGAAATATGTCAATAATAGTTAAATGGATCCATCATATATTAACAAAAATCACAGATTCGTAATATGAAATATTTGTATACCGTAACAAAATTTACACACTATATATACTAGATAAATTTATTTCAATGTAAATTTTTAAAATTATATATTTTTTTACAAAAAAGAAATTATTTTAAAAAAATATTTTTTAATAAAATTCCTCTTTAATAAAATTCTTTATAATATTAATTTATGAAGCTATAAGTTTAGTTTTTAGCAAAAATTTCTTCGAAGTTTATATTATCTTTGCAAATTAAAGTATACTAATATTTAATCAAGTTTTATTTATATTATTTTATCTAAAAATGAAATACTAATATAACAAACAATAAAATATAGAAGAAGAAACAAACACATGTTTGAAAAACATGTATAATATAGAAAATTTGAAACAATCTATTTGATTAAAACACGTATTATATAATATTATTATGTTTGAAAAATATTTACTATACATATCGTAAATATGTGATTACTATAATATATACTAATTTACAAGTGAAAACAAAATGTTTATATAACTAACTATAAACGAAAACAAACATCCGCGCGGTTGCGCGGNAAAAACATGTATAATATAGAAAATTTGAAACAATCTATTTGATTAAAACACGTATTATATAATATTATTATGTTTGAAAAATATTTACTATACATATCGTAAATATGTGATTACTATAATATATACTAATTTACAAGTGAAAACAAAATGTTTATATAACTAACTATAAACGAAAACAAACATCCGCGCGGTTGCGCGGATCAGAATCTAGTATACCATTAATAGAAATGTATTTGTTTTAACATCTTGAATTTTTTTGGTATATTGGTGTATACTTAAATTAGTTGATTTGGTTATATGTATCACAAAACTATATACACATTTTTAGTTATATTATTATCTTTAGAATTAGTAAAATTAAACGTCTTGGAATTAGCTATTAGAAAATCATCTGCAAATGAAATAAAGCATGAAGAATGTGGTGATTATAATGTTAATAAATAAATCTTTCAAACATAAACATCAGACGAGTAGAGTCCAAATACCGAAATAACAAGGGTGAAAACCTAACAGCGGGGGTGGCCTAGTATCTTCATAGTTCTCATAACATCTACTCTATTCAAATAGATTCATTCTTTTTATCTACTGATACAAATTGTCATTTAAATTTGGATTCTTTCTAGAATGTTATAAACAATATAAGTCATATAATTGATTGAACCCTATTACTTAAATTAAACCAACACAATTAATGTAAATAGACGACCTTAATGTAAACTACCTTCAAAATACGGCAGGTATCTATGTGTATACCGAAAACACATATTTTCTCCTACAATATGGAATGTTCTAAAAGAATATATATCATTAAAATATGGAATATGGAAATCTACTAATTATACTTAAATTAAACCAGTGGTTATTTATGGAAAATAGTCTTGGACTTACTTATATTTTTTGAACAAATTATATATTTTGGTTTTTGGGCAGTATTAAGAAAAAAACTCCAAAAACATTGAATAAACTTTTCACCTTAAAAGATCAAAAAAATCAATTATTATTTTCAGATCCAAAAGATATTTAATATTTTTAACAAAACAAAATTATCTATTATTAATCATTTATTTAAATCATGTACTTTAAAACATGTTAATATATTTTTTTATTTTAAATAACAATCACTTTGTTTTGATAAATTTCAATGGTAATTTTTAAATAATTTGTTTTTTAATTTTCTTAAATAATTTACTGATTAAAAAAATGTAAAGCAAAACCAAAAACCAAATCCAAAAACTAAAATCCAAAACTAAAAGCTGAAAACACATATTATATTTTTTTGCTTTGATTATTTACAAAATAAACTATTTCAAATTTTTTAAAAAAAAAATTTGTTATCATCTTTTCAGTTTTAAATTAGATGTTCGATTATTTGAGATTTGTTTGTTGGTAATATTAGTTCAAACTAACTCAGCGGGTTTAAAAATTAAAAACCTAAACCAAAAACTGAAAATGAAAAGTAGAAACTTAAAAACTAAAAACCAAAAACCAAAATCTAAAAATAAAAACTGAAACTAAAAACTAATGAAAAACAATCATCACCACAAATTTTGGTGAACTGATTTTATATCAAAATATTCTTTAAATTAAGACAAAATCCAATTATATAAATTTTTAATCATAAAAATTTCCGCGCTTTTCAAGCGCGGGTCAAAATCTGGTTTAATATTATAAAATTAAGGTTGATGAATCATGAAAAAAATAAATGTTGTTATATTTTTTTACATATTCATTCACTATATTACAGAGCCGGACTGGCCCCGGCCACCAGAGAATATCAAAAATATCGGTCACATATTTTACAAAACATCTCATTAGTGTAGTGGTTGAAGAGTCTTTGTACATTAACCCGAACCAAGGTTTGAATCACCCTACGGTTTTCAGCCATTTTTATTTTTTTAGTTTCTAGTCTTAAGAATTCTAGAACCGGTTCTGTTATTATAGTTTTTCATGAGAGGATACTGGATACACATGAATACATTATTCTAATGTTAGAGGACCGAGAGCCTGTGGAGGAAGATATTGATAAGAGAAGGATGAAGACAAAACGCCTCTTGATTACACAATTGTCTTATTACAAAGGGAATATAATCAATGCATAGACGTGTCCTTATTCTCTGCGATAATAATGGTACTCGTATTCCAGTGATATCGATAGCAAGGTATTATAAACGATTTTTATTTTAACAGTATTAGTTTGATATCGACTGTAAACTCTAACATTAAAACTAAATTTGGTTCTGATCTATATGATAATTACCTATAAAAGGATAATTGTTTGACGAGTTTTCAAACAGTATAACAAACAAAGTATACTTATGAATGACTGCAAGTTTGACTGTAAAAAGAAACTAACGAGATAAGCTATATGTATTGAGTTAAGAAAAGACACTGTTTTGGAAAACGACAAATGAATCATAGTCTCTCTGTATTGCTCTTTTGTAATATCCTTCTCTCCATGTGAGTTTTGTAGTGATACGACAATGCATGGTCCCGTTTTCGAATATAATGACCATGCCGTTTGTCTCACACACACATACGTACATGCCAAGAGTAAGATTCTCTCTCTAACGTCTGTTTTTGTTCACATTGCACATTCACATCACATCATGAGTGAGATGACACACCAACCGGTTTAGCCCGTTGATGGCCCATTGAAGGTCTATCTACACATATGGGCTTGGCTCTTCTTTGGAGTTTGAGTCAAATTTACACAAAGCTGATAAAGAAGCTTGATTGATTAACTTTTTAATATTACATATGATGTTGTTCTAATAATGTATTTGGCACCACAATCAGGCATCAGTGAAGATGTTGTACAGGGCAACTACATAGATAATTGGTAGAAGAGGAGTCACCTCTAAGATATCTAGATGCGGTGACAATTAATGGACTTTCGATAAGCATAAGTGAGAAAGACAGTGGGTGTGATCTTGCCAGCAAAACCCCAGCCTTTCTTGTCGGAAATATACCAGTTCATTATGATCCTTACCATGGTTGATGTCCTTGTTAAATGTCGAGCAATCGCCCATCAATGATGGGTACTCGTTCGGACTCGGGAAGAGCCGGCTGATAAAAGGGAAACAAGGAGTGCGACTGACCTGGGATCCAAATATGTGTCCTCTTAGTCAAAAATTCCAACTTTATATATAGTTATTAGGTGTTTTGCCTGCACTTGCAGCCATAATTCTCTTATAAATATTTATTAGTTCATGTTTCATTAATTTAAAAATCAGCATAATAAATTATTATTTATGTTTTCAAAACGTACAAATGAAATATCAAATACTTATCAATGACAAAACTCAAACATCGAAAATATTTAAAAGAATATATTTATATAATTATTTTGCTTGATTTATATTTAATTATAATATTTATACAAATATTTTTACTTAATTTATATTTAATTATATTTTTTATATCTTAATTTTAAATTTTATAATAGAAAAAAACATACTTGCAAGATAACAGTATAATGGATAAGTTATTTATTTTCTAAAATAATATGATAAATTTGTTTTAATTATATAATAATTATATAAGATTTAAGAAATTATGACATATAACTAAAATTACCTAAAATCATGGAGAACTTAATGAATCAGCAAATTCACTTATTAAATAATTTTTCTTGAGTGAAGATTTATATTTAATTAATAATATATAATTTTTATACTTTAATTGTAAATTATATAATATAAAAAGATAATACATAAGAATTACCTTATTTTATAAAACTATACTATTATTTGTGTAAATTTA